TGGTGGCTGAGTGGCAGGACCAGGAGGACCAGGGAGATTATTGCTAGAGGGCAGAGGAGGGGGTGTTAAGGCATCACTACAGTGGTAGGGAGGGTCCGAAGGTGGTGAGGAGGAGGCATGGGGGGCTGGAGGAGAGCCCAGGTCAGTGGGCACCAGGCTGGATAGGAGGGTAGCTCCCCAGTTGTATGAGGGAGCATTGAGGCTGATAGCAGGTGGAGGAGGTGGAGCTGGAGAGGGGGCATTGCCCCTTGGGAGGAAACAGGGGCTGCTGCTGCTCCCAGAAGGAACTGGGTCAGGAAGCCTTGGTGGTGGGAAGAGCCCCCCAGGGCCTGCTAGGGAGGAGAAGACTTGGGGAACTGAAGGTGGTTCTGGGGGAATAGAGCCAGGGCCCCCATTAAGTGGAGGTACAGGAGGGACTCGACAGGGAGGGCGAGCAGAGGGGGGTCCTGGGGACACAGTGTGGAACATTTGGGGGCTTGATCCTTCTCCTGCAATACATGAAAAGTAAAGGATCAGTCTGAGGTTCCCCTCTGCAGAACTTCCTTTTATTTCCTTCAGCCCCACCATTGATAAATTCCCATCCTTCCTGTCCCCTCCTCTTACCTCTCAACCTCATCATCACCAAGGCCCATTCCTTGCTCCCTCCCACAGAGCTCCTCCCAACATCCTTCTTCTAAGTCCTTAGGTTTTCCTCTGTCTTCCATTAAAGTGAACAAGACTCACCAGGAGAAGAGTGTGAGCAGGTGGTCTCCATACTTCGGTACAGTGTTGCCATAGCAACAGCTTTCCGTCTGTGGTTACACAGCTTGGTCATGTCCTCCTCTGATGCTGGCCCCATCCCAGCCCCACTTGGGGTCACCGGGGCCAAAGGGTCAAAGTTGAAAACCTACAAGGTAGAAGGAATGGATAGGGAGTCTAAGAGGAACATGTAAGAAAGGCTACCATTGTGATTATTTGGATTAAGTCTTGGCATATCCCTATATTCTCTGGCACCCCTCACCACTCTGACCTTGGGGACATTGAGTGGACACTCCAGACCGCACTTGCAGGTCCCATCACTGAGGAGGTAGCTCCGGGTTTGCTCCAAGGAAGACAGCTCTGTGCCACTTGGGCTGAGAGGGTACAGGGTCAGAGGACATAAAATTAGCTGACACTGAATTGGAAATATTCCTAGAGAACAGTTTGTAAGTCAACTCTTTGTAGAAAGGGCAGAGGGTAAGGGATATGGGATGAAACAGAATGGGGAGAATTAATTCAAAGTTCCAGAGACAGAGAGCAAAAGGCTGAGAAAGGAAGAACCACAGAGAAAAGCAATAAGGTAGCAGAGATCTGAGCTCTGTCTGGGGTGATAGAACTTGCGGAACTTTGAAGATTCATACCTGATATAGAGCACAGCACCCTCTCGAACACAGCGCTGCCAGCCAATGGGGACAGATGTGGCCACAGGGCCCCCAGCTCTGTCTGCTCCACTGCTCTCATTGCCCCCATTCATTGTGTGTAATCAGCTCCCACGTGCCTGATAACACAGACATCCATGTGGGCACCAGGAGGACTGAGCTGGGCTGGGAACCTGAGGGAGTACTCCAAGAAGGCCAAGTTCAAGGGAGACCCAAAGGAACTCAGGGGAATGGCAGGAGAAAGCCCTCAAATAGCTGGGCGGGAGAATAAAGGGAAACCCTCTGCCATACCACCATGGCTACCTGAACATCTCTGCAAACATTGTGGGGTCCAGTCTAAAGCCAGGGCCGCCTGCTTAGCCCACACCTGCAACACAAAGAGAGAAGGGACTGTCACAAACCTGCCCAACTCAGGACAGCACCACAATCCAGGTCTTCCTTAAGGTAAAAATCCTTAATAATGTGAGGTAAGTGACTGTTAAGATCTCAGGGATCTGCTGGCTGAGTCCCCAACTCTCCTTTACAAGCCTAGTCCCAATGGGCCCAGCAGGCCAGAGTCCCAACTCCCAAGAACCAAGCAATCATAGCCCTATCCCTAGATCTATAAGAGCAAGCTCCCTTTGTCCCATAAGGGATAGAAGACCTCAACCAACAGAAGTGTGGGCAAATTTCCATAATGCCAGGTCACTAGGAAGTTGCCAGTGTCTGACTCCTGCTGTTCCCTCCCCCAAGATCATATAAAAAGTATAGATTGCCCTGCAGGTCACCAAGCAATTGCCCATCTGCTCCTAAGGATGGTACCTGCAGAACTTCCCCTATGCCTACTCCATTAAACAATCATTGATTTCGTTCATATTGATCTTCTTAGGAGACTTAAGAATCGCAGCTCTGCCTCCTCTCAGAATCCTGAGAAGCTCCTGATTTGCCCCAAAACCGAAAGCAAAGGGATCCAGAATCTCCTATCCCATTGGCTTTAAATTAGCTTCAAGAAGGACTCTTCTCTGATATATGGGGACTTCCCTTAAACGTGTAAGTATCCCCTCCAACCTCACCGTCGCTCCCACACCACATTGGCGGCTTCCAAACTTTCCCTCTCATAACAAGGCGCCCTGTCACCCCAGTCAGCTTCTCTTTGCTTGAGGAGGAGGGGAAAGCGCACCAAGTAGGAAGGAACTTGGGGAGAGGACGGACGGAGGGTGGGCAAAGCACTGAGGGGAGGGAGGTGAAGAAGGCAGAAGTCTGGCAGTGAAGGAGAAACGGCGGCGGCAGGTGAGGGCGGGGGAGTGGGGATGAGGCCGGGTAAAGGGGCCGAAAGGACGCGGAGGGGGCAGAGGGTAGGGACTGGAGGGGAGAGTAGGGGGAGGGGCAGGGGGGGCCGGGCCCCGCACTCACCGCGGCCCATGGTTCGGCCGGCCCCGCCCTGCGCAGTCGCGGCCCAGAGAGTGAGTGGGAGGGGGTGGGCGGAGGGTCGGTGGAGCCCGAGCCTCCGGTATGGCCCTGGCCGGTCCTAGCAGGAAGCGCCACCGCCGCCGCCGCGGATCACCGAGCGACCTCCCGCGCATGCGCCATGGGGGCCAGGGGCAGCCCTGGGGATTCCGTTCCCAGAAGGCACCGCGCAAGCTGCTGCTGCCGCTGCCGCTACCGCCGTCGTCGTCTTCGTCGTCGTCGCCGCCGCCGCCGCCGCCGCTGCCCGGACGGGAGAGGGGCGGGGCCGGGCCCCCGCCCAGTGGACAGCGACGAGCCAACAGGAGGGGCCGCAGTGCGCATGCGGGAGCGCGCCTACCCCTCCCCCATAACCCCCCATTAATCCCCAAGAGAACAAACACCCCACGCGGCCCCCCTCCCCTGTGCTCCGCGGAAGGATCTGCGTCTCTGCACAGGCCACCGGTGGGCCAATCCCCGCTCTCCCCGGGGAGGGGCCCCTTCCAAAGCCACAATCTGCTGGGGAGTCAGGAATGCCAGGTCCGGGAGGGGCCAGCCCCAAAAGATGAAAGTCGCGACTTGCCCTGCCCCGCCCCAAAGGCTTCCGGGGTAGTGTGCTGGGACTTGACCCACCTCCCCAGGTCAACATGTCACAACACGACCTCGGCCTGTCAAGTCACATGACCTCTGCCTGTCACTGACAACCTGGTCTGTCCTTGGGCCAGAAAAAACCATCTGGTCCAACCCATGCCCATCCCCATTTACAGAAGGGGAAATGGAAGTCTGGAGAGAGGGAGCAGCCTAGCCAAGAACCTGTCACGGCCACACCACCATACCTAGGCCCGCCTTCCCGTCCCAATCGGCCTTTTAAGTTTCTAATTAGACAAACCCGAGATGCCCCCATGAGGGTATAACAGGATATGTAACAAGCCACCACGTGGTCTCTGTTTTCTACTTAATGGCACCTTACATTTTGCATGGTGTTTTTTACTTTTGTTCAAACCGCCTCAAGTTCATAGTTTTCTGATTTTACCTTCGTAACTCATTATTTTTCATTTGCAAACAAGAACTGTAATGCAGGAAAAGATTAAGTGGCCCGTCAAGGATCCCTGAGCTAGTGAGAGGCAGCTGAGGCGGGGATCTAGGCTCCTAACATCCCAGTCCAGGGTAGACATGCGCTCAAGTGCACTCACTCGTCCCAAAACTACTCTAGGTGACAACCCCAAACACCTTGAAGGTAGGAGTCTGCTTGCTCCTCACAATAGTGGAGGTCACAGTACTTGCTGTCTGGGACTGTGAAAAGGGCGGGTCTTGGTCTTTGGTCAAGAGCGCAACAGTGCCTCGGGAGGAACATAAATGGGGAGGAAAACCATTGAGAATCAGGTCCACTAGGCAGAGGAATAGGAATTCTGGCACGTTGAGGGCTCATCTTTACAAAGACAGTCAAGGGTCCTCTCCTAAAAGAAGCTAAAAATAACTATCAAAGGGATTCAAATACTACGGCTCCTTTGGGGACGTCCGGAGGCTGACAGATCCCTCTAAGTAAAAAATCCTAGCAAGTGGATGGCGACTTTCAAAGGAGGGAGGTTCAAAAGGCCTAAAGTGCTGGGTGAGGGCCAAGGAAAATACGGATTCCTAAGGAAGAGATGAAACGAGGGCTACAACAGCTCTTGAAGAAAAAAGCTGCACTGAGACTCCACACACGCAGAACGGTCTAGAGGCAGTTTAGGGGTAGCCACAGTTGATGGCCGTTGGGGCCGTTGGGTGCTCGGCGCTGGCGCCCCGCCCTCTCCTCTCCACCCCCTCCCCCTCTGCACCTCCCACCACCCTCCTGGCTCCCTGCGCCTGCGCGCACAGACACCGGTTGCCAAACATTGCATCATCCCCGCCCCCCTTTCTCCCCTCCCCCCTCTTTGCGCTACCCTCCGCGCGCGCGCATGACTCACCCACCGCCTCCGCGAAGCCTCGTGACCCGAAGCCACTTCCGGGTCCAGCACTACGTCGACCTCCAAACAGAAGGGAGCGAAGGAGGCGGTGCAGCAGAGGTCTACTGAGTGGCGGATGTAAGGGATGAGGCGGGGCCAATGCCAGCGTGCCGTTTTTTGATTGGTAAACTTTTAGATTCCACCCCTGAGAGGAGGGCAAGGCCGTATTAAAAGATCCCTGTTCGGAGCTCCGTGTAGGTCAGAGGCTTGAGTCTAAGACCAAGAGTAGATCATGTTGAAGATGAGCGGGTGGCAGAGACAGAGCCAAAGCCAAAATCAGAGCCGGAACCTGAGGAGAAAGGTGAGTACGTCCTCCTCACCTACCCTATGTTCTCCCATCAAGGGTTGACCTCTCAAAGTTGGGGCATCCGCTCATTAGGATGTGCCTGCCCCCACCCCTCCACATGAAATGAGTGACATTCGTGAGAGGGATGGGGATAATCCCTTATTCGGGAGGGTGTTTACAGACTCTTGGTCCTTCGAACGACGTCACTCTACTCCTACCCTGATTACGGGCGCTGTTCTGTGCTGTTATGCGAAGGGGTGCTGGCTGTCCTCTTGAAACTCTGACCCAGGACTCCTAGTTAGGCTGGTCGGTGGGAGGCGGGGGAAGCTGGACACACCCCTGCACCAAGAAGCATGGGTGACAGTGGCTCTTGCAGCCACCTCTGTTTTGCCATCAGAGACACTGCCTTCTTCCCCCTCCTCCCACCTCCACCCCCCCCCCCCCCCCCCCCCCCCCCCCCCCCCCCCCCACCCCCGTCTCGTCCCAGCCGCATATTGGGACCAGCCAGTATGGCTACCTTAGTGCCTGGGACTCTAATCAAGGAAACTGACATGAGTTTAGGGTAGAAGGGGTGTGGGTAGTCAAGGACAGGAGATGGATTTTCACTTTTCCTCCAGAGGATCCTGGGCCATCTGCAGAAGAGAGCAGCCTGGATCTCTTAAAGTGTGGGAAGCCATTTGGGGTCTCCCCAGTGTACTGCCCTTCCTTTGGGATTGTCCTGTTTCACCGGCCTTCTCTCCTGTCCCCCAACCAGTCTCTGTAACCATTGCATCAGGCCAGCCCCCTGTTTGGCACTTCAGCCCTCTAGCCTAGGACTTCACTGCTGATGAAAGCCTCGTCCCATACACACACTGGAAGGCACGGGAGGGTTCCCCAGAGAGGACAGCCCTGCAGAGAAACATTCAGGGAGATATTGCATCTCCAGTCCTTTGGGATATGCAACTAGGTCTCTTTCACTGGGCTTAGTCTTCTATTTCCTGTAAGAGACGGAGTCCCTGGGTGGTGGTGCAAACCGCTAAAATGCTTGTCTGCTAACCTAAAGGTTGGAGGTTCCAGTCCACCCAAAAGTTAAAAGAAAAGTCCTGGAAAGGCAACTGCTGAAAGCTCAACTGTGTCGGCTCACCATGAGTCAGAATCAACTGGATGAGAACTGATTGGAGATTGGAGGAAATTTAACTTTTCATTATGATTGAGTGAAAGTTACTGAACAGATCCATTCAATTCCTACACATTTTGTTTTGTGACATTGATTGCAATGCCCACATTGTAACAGCACCCTTTCCACATTCTCCGTGTTCACCATTTCCATTCATACTTATTTCCTGCCTTCTCAGCTTTTTCCTTGGGCAAATGCTGCCCTTCTGGCCATCTGTGGTTGATAGTTCTAAGGAGTGCATACCTCTTTGGTGATATTGTTCACCTTGTAGGCCTACTGTATTTTAAAATTATTTTACTGAGCTTTTGGTGAAAATGTACACAGCACGTTTGTTCAGTGACATTAGGTACATTTATCACAATGTGTCAACACTTGGTATTCCATTTGTTCCCTTTCCAGTACTCTATAGTTTACTTGCTCCCACCACACACACACACCCCTGTTATCTTTGCTTTGGGGTAATTGTTGACCTTTGTGTCTCACATTGATACAGGGCACCAATCTGGGTAATAATCCTTTATTTTGTGTGCCACTCTGCTGCTTTTATAAAAAGGTGACCTTCAGAGATAGGCTTAGTGCTAGGAGATTTAAAGAGTGTCTCGAGGAGTTATCCATTACTTCTTAATACAGGCATGATTTGGGATCCTGGGCACATCAGTTAATTTAAAAAGGGGGGTGGATAAAAAGCTCTGCTCTCATAGTACTTTACAGGTTAGTGAAAGGCACATAATTATGCAGGGTGGTCAGGGGTTACTTCACTGAGGTGAAAAACCTAAAGGAGGTGAGGCAGTGATCGATGCAGTTATCTGGGGAGGAAGAGCTTTCCAGAAGGTACTGCTAAGGTGGAGGCATACCTGCAGTCTTAGGGAACAAAAGATGGCCAGTTAATTGGATTCCAGTGAACAAGAGGGATGTTGTTGTTAAGAGTGGATTGAGACCCTTAGCAACTCTGTATAGGGTTTCCAAGGAGCGGCTGATAAGCTTGAACCGCCAACCTTGCTGTCCAACAGACTTTGCAGTCCAGGGCATTAACCTACAGCCCCATACCAGGTCTCCAAGAGTGATATTAGATGATGTGAAAAACAAGGTGCAGGAGAACAGATGAGTAGGGCTTTGTAAACCATCTTAAAAGATTTTAGTATGCATGGGAAAGGAAGTAATTGGTGGGTTTGACAGGGGCTGGCTTGCTTTAAAAAGCTCATTCTGGCTGTTATTATTAAATAGACAGAAGAAGAGGTGGCAAGAGTCAAAACAGGGAAGCCTTCTGCAGTAACCCAGGGGAGATGTAACTTAATCTAGACTGGAAACACTGGAAATGGTAGAAGTACTCAGATTCTGGATTTTTAAATTTTTTTTTAAAGGTTAGTAAATATTGCTGATGGTTGGATTAGACTGTGATAGGAGAATCAATGATACCAAAGTTTTTGCTTAGGAAACTAGGATTGTCATTTTCTAAAATGACCAAGACCTTGGAAAGAGAAGATTAGCAGGAGTTTGGTTTTGAACATATTAAGTCTGATATACCTGTCAGACACCAAGTTGATTCCTACTCATAGTGACCCTATATAGAGTTTTTGAAACTAAATCTTTATAGGAGCAGATAGCCTCATCTTTCTCCCATAGAGTAGCTGGTGGGTTTGAACTACCGACCCAATGCCTAACCCACAGCACCACTAAAGCTCCTGAGAGACTCAAAAGATGGCAAGTAGGAGTGGAGATAGGAAAATGCCCATTGATTTGTCCCCTTCTCTGTGGTCCAGTCCTTCCCCTGGCAAGTTTTAGGCCTCCTTGAATTGACAGAAACCTGAGCTGGCCAGAGCTTTTACTGTTATGTAATCAGGACTACAAATGTCAGCAACTAAAAATAAAAAGAAATCAATTGGATGACAACTGATTGATTTGTCCTTGGAAATGGCTGCAGGGACCATTAACTATTCAGAACTACTTCCATACCCTACAAGACAGGAAGTAAGGAAGGACGAATGAGTAAGACACTGAAGATAAAAGCAACCTGTCGTCCCCCTTCTAAAAATGGCTAACATTGATCCTTGTTCCCACCACAGTGTTCCAGAAGGAAGTGTATCTTCATACACCACCACACCTGAAAGCAGGTAAATTTAACCAACTCTTTCCCAAAACCAAGTCCTTTAGTCTTTCTTTGCTGAGACTCTTAATAAGCTATGAGAAGGTGCTGTCAAGCCATGTTCATCTTCTTTTAGAGCATGTCCAAGTTGAAAGTTGGCTGAATAAGCAGGCAGCCCCAACCAAAATAATCCATTTGTTCCAGTAAACATCAGCTCCTATCAAGATTAGACTGACCACACTGAAGGAGCATATGGTCAGATAATGGCCCCAGAAACTACCTACCAATGAGTTTCCCAGGGCAGTTGAGAACTTTTACTAGGATCCCATAAAATTCAGGCATTTTGTTTCTTCACAAGTGTTGGCAGAAAGCGAGTAGAGAATACTAAATACTAGTACAGACCAAACCCAAAAAACCTGCTGTCATCAAGTCAGTTCTGACTTCTACCAACCCTATGTAAGGTTCAAGTTCACCAGCCTCTCCTTGGAAACTTTGGGTCGCTAAGAGTTGGAAATGACTCAACAGCACTGAAAAACAACATATAGGGTTACCAGGGTAGATAGTTTCATCTTTCTCCTGAGGACCAGTAGACACCCTGTATAGGGTTTCCAAGGAACGGCTGGTGAGCTTGAACCGCCAATCTTATGGTTCAAACCAACTTTGCTGTCTAGCGTATTAACCCACATCATCCCACCAGGACTCCCCTTTAGTAGAGGTTGGTGAATTTTACAGGTCCAAATAGCAAATATTTTAGAGAGCCCTAGTCTCCACCATTGCAGTTACATCACAAAAGCTGACATAGTGTAAATAAATGGAGCCATATTCCAATAACTTTTATTTACAAACCAGACAGGAGACCATAGTTTGCTAACCTCTGGTATAGACTGGTTTGTGGAGCTTGTTCTACCCACCTCTGTTATTCTAAATATGTATTTTTCTAGAGCCTGCTCCAACTGCAGAGATGGAAGCTCAGCCTTTGCCTTTCTCCTTTGGTACACTGTCCAGCTGGGAGCTGGAAGCCTGGTATGAGGACCTGCAGGAAGTCTTGTCCTCTGATGAAAATGGAGGGACCTATATCTCACCTCCTGGAAACAAGGAGGTAAGAATACTAGGCCTAAAGCTAGGGAGAGAAATGTTGCCCTTCCCTTCCCTTCTCAACTAACATCTGCCCTAACTTTCCTGAAGGAAGAACCAAAAACCTTCACCACTCTTGATCCTGCCTCTCTGGCTTGGCTGACTGAGGAGCCAGGACCAGCAGAGGTCACAAGCACCTCCCAGAGCCCTCAGTCTCCAGATTCTAGTCAGAGCTCCCTGGCTCAAGAGGAAGAAGAGGAAAACCAAAGACGACCCAGGAAGCGGAAACAGAGTGGACAGTCCCCAGCTCGGGCTGGGAAGCAACGCATGAAGGAGAAAGAACAGGAAAATGAAAGGAAAGTGGCACAGCTAGCTGAAGAGAACGAACGGCTCAAGCAGGAAATTGAGCGCCTGACCAGGGAAGTAGAGGCAACTCGCCGAGCTCTGATTGACCGAATGGTTAATCTACACCAAACATGAACAATTGGGACCATCAATTCCCCTCACAGGCCACACTACCTACCTTTCCCAAAAGTGGCTACTGACCACCTTCTCAACAGTGCCAAAGTGACCCTCAGCACCTCATTTCAGTAAGGGAGAAGGTTTGGGGTAGACGAAAGAATCTCAGTTTTGTAGACAGAGATTGTACATTTATTTCTATGTCCTTATCTATTAAAATGATTTTTTGTGACCCACAATTTCTTTCACTTTTTCTTCTTGCCTTTAGGGGGATCAAGGGGCTTCCCCTCAGCTAGAGCCAACTGCTTCTTTAGCTCCAGGAGTTTAGTCACTTCTGCAGCCACCTGGTTCTTGTCTGCTTTTTGTGCTTTCAGTTCTCGAACAGTGTTCCCCTAGAGAAGGGAATTGGGAGGAATAGCAACAGTGAAATTAGGAAAGGATTGATTTAGGATGTCTCACAGGACATAATGTTTCCTACCTGTTTTGTCACTTCATCCATCAGTGTCTGTATTTGCTGTGGCCCTGCTGTTGTAACAGTCTCTACAACTACTGGCTTTGGGGAAGCTTTTACCTGGAGAAGAATAAGAACATTATCATCCTCTACTATAAATATCCTCCAACCTCCAGGTTTATATAATGCCTCAGGAAGCAAGTGATTACCTTTGATTCCAAAGACTCATTGAGCTAAGAGAGAAAAGAAAAACTATTAAGCGAGGAAGCAGCAAGGGCCAAAGATGGGAAGAGTCATGAGTGAGGGACAACTTAGAGACACTAAGAAGATGACACTATGGCTATTGCTGGTTGAGAGAGAGCAGAGTCTTTAGTTTTCTCACCTGGCCCCCTCCAAAGCGCTGCCTCAAACTTTCAATCTGGTCATTTTCCAGTTTTTGGAACAAAGGACTGACCTAGGGAATGGGGGCAGAGAAAAAGAATTCCTGAGTCATTCACTGCTGGGGTATGAAATCTACGAAGCTGTAAAAAGGCCTGCTCCAACCCCAATCTGGTATTTAGGAACCTTAAATAGGCCAGGAAGAGGAGCATGATACTGAGTAAAATACCCATGATTTCAGGAAAGACTTCAGAAACAACACTGGCATTTGTTAGGAAAGCCATAAGTATTAACAGAGTCAAAGATAAACTTCCACTCAGTTTAGGGATACACTTTATTTAGCATTACAGAGATCAGTAACTATGATGTTTCTTCAAATAGCTGTATACTAGTTTTATGTGCCAGGTACTAGCTTTAGATATGAACGAGGATATATGAGTAAAAGTAACTCTGCACTTATGAACCAATACCAAGGACTTTAGATCGGAAACAAGCCTAAGTACAGAGTTGAATGGAATCAAAACGGGTTCACAGAGTACTATGAGAGGTCTCTGACCCCCACCCTAAAGGCTGAATGACAAAGGAGAAGCTGGCCCAACATCCAGGGACCTACTGTGCCAATCTGGTGTCCTGCTGGTAAGGTACAAAGGAAGTCTGTGGGCAGGATACTACAGGCCAGAGATGGGAGCTGCAGCTGGGCCTGGATGGTGGTGCTAACTGTAGGCATGTAAGGCTGGATCATGATGGACAGCAAGGCAGCTACATTCACTGCCAAGCCTGTCACAGTACCTGCCCGCTGCCTGGGAAGAAGAGAGAGACCCATCAGGACATCAGGAGGACACAGCCTACATGTTATTTTATTCCTCTAGCCAATCCTGTCACTTTACCTGTCAGCCTCATTGCCTTTAATCCGCTTCCAGGGCTCATTCACCTGAATATACTGGTTGCCATGGCGAGATATGGTGAGGATACTGCGTAAAGCATCCCGGATCCTAGGAAGGGAGAAGGCAGGCCAAAGTGTAAGGTCCTACTGGGTTCTTAACATGCCAGTAGATTGCTGAGATGAGACAGGAGAGGTTGAGGTTACTTACCGAACCTTCTCAAGCAGCTGGTGATAGTGCTGGAGTTCCAGGGTGACATGGGCCACCAGGCGCTGATCGTCTGAGGTAAGCACCATCTTTGGCACAGAGCCCCCAAAAAACTTAGACACAAACATCCCAGCTCTTGGTGAGGGAGAAGGGGATAAAACAAATTTGAAAAATTGGATCCAATTTTTATCACTGTACATGTTCTTGGGATTCCTGCCCAGACCTGACACCTGGCTCCCTCAGGCTAAAGGTAAAGCTTAACAAATTAACTCCTCACTCTATTTTCCCCTAAGAAAATGACTCCACATACAACAGGTATTTTACATACAGCCATCACTTTTATTTAAAGAAACTTGACAAAATTAAGTAACTGTTCATTTTATTTTTAAGTCAATACTCACTCTAAAATGAATACTCCAGTAAGGACTACCTAAGTGTGGTTAACGACCAAGTCTGAAAGGGTGAATGGCAAGACTAAGTGAAAGGCCTAAACTATGGAGGACATTGCTTTAGATTATAGTATTTGTTGTTGCTGTGTGCCGTGGAGTCAGTTCTGACTCACAGCGACCCTGTACAGGGTTTCTGAGGCTGTAAATCTTTACGAGAGCAAAACGCCTCATCTGTCTCCCGCAGAACAGCTGGTAGTTTCAAACTGCTGACCGTGAGATTCGCAGCCCGATTCGTAACCACAAAGACTAATAGTGGAATGTGAGCTTAAAATAACAACAGAGTGCAACAGAAGCCTATCCTACATCAGAACAACCCCTTCAGTCAAACTTACCAGAGTGAGGCTTGCTGCTCCCATAAAGATTTACAGCCTCGGAAAGCCTGTACAGGGTCACTATGAGTCGGAACCGACTCAATGGCACATAACAACAGGTCAACACTCTTACAAGGAGAGAACCTATCTACAGTTGTTCTCTCAAGCATGGCCTACTGTGTGCTAGGAGCAAATTCTAATTGAGAGAAATCAACATTCCACATTATTTTCCCCATTCCTCATGCCCTCCTGCACATTTACCAGCTTTCTCTGAATCCCCACTCCCAGACACCTAGTATGTCCCATTTCAGCTCATCTGCTAATTGCGACCTCTCACCCAGTCCTACCTGTTGATGAAGTTCCCCAGGTTATTAAGCAGCTCAGAATTATTCTTGAGCAGCATGTCTGTCCAGGAGAAGGCACTGTCCTGGCCTTCAGGCCGAATGTACAGCAGATAGAAGCGCCAGATGTCAGCAGGAATCCCAGTATCTTGGGCCATGTCTCCAAATACTCCCACACCCCGGCTCTTAGAGAATTTCCCATCCTCATAGTTCAGGTACTCTAGACAGGGGGAAAAAATCACCTGCTTAAGCCACTGTGCTGGCCCACCAACTTTTTTCTTTTTCCTCAATCTCAACCAATCCTGAGTAGATGCCCTGCAGAGAACTTGGGAGTTCCTTCCTCTCTCTTCTAGCCATTTTCTCTTTGTTTATATCCATTAAATTACAAAGTTTTAGCTTTAGATCTTTGATTTCTTCTGCTGCCTATTCTCTTTCTTGGATTAAGTCCTCATGCTCTAATGATGTCCTATTTCATTTCAACTCTCAAGATCTAGTACCTCTTTTTTTTTAAAAAAAAAAAAGTTTCAGCCATTTTTACATGTACTACCCAGTCATACCAACCACAATCCCTGTGGTGCACAACCACCATACTATCAATTTCCAAATCCCTTTTCTCTCTCATTTCCTTCCCCTACGTCTTTCCTTTTCCTTTTTTATTTGTGGGGAATGAGAAAACATATATACATTGTTTTCCTTCTAATACATGGGGAGGGTGGGGGTAAAAGTAATTGCCTTTCTTTTTCTTCTCTTTTTTTAACTGCCTTCCCCATCACCCAAGTTAGCATGTGTCTACACTCTACTCAGTGAATAATTCTCCCTTCCCTCTCACCCCTGGTAACCATCATACAATGTTTATTATAGAATTAAAACTTTTTCTTGACATTATACAGTAGTAGTTTCATACAATTATCTATACCCTTTGTGACTAATTTCATTCAGTCTGATGTCCTTCAGTTCCTCCATGTTATGCAGTATTTTGCAGATTCATTGTTATTTTTCAATGTTGTGAAATATTCCATTGGGTGTATATACCAAAGGTTGTTCAACCATTCTGCTGATGGGCATCTAGGCTGTCTCCATCTTTTTGCTACTATGAATAATACAATGAACATGGGACTAGTACCTGGTTAGAATCTCTTCCCAGTATTGCCTCAGACTTCATGCCCTAGAAACAAACTTCATGCCCTATCTCCAGTCTTCCGCCATACCTGTAGCAATTATGTGGCTGACCAATGTGTAGTTGTCATCAGTTCCTAGAACTGAACAAGGAAAGACTAAGCCATGGAAGGGAACATTGTCTTTAGCCATGAACTGATACAGGTCCACCTAGAGAAATAGATGCACAAGGAGGGAGATCTATTGAGGTCTTCTTAAAAGGCTCAAGATCAGATAATCAGCTCTAATTTCTACTTCACATGCACACCCTCGTCATAGGCTAACCAAAAATATGCTCACTTGCTCTGGGTTTTTCCACCATCTCTCCCACTGGTCTGTGTAGTTGGCTGTGATAGACAAGTAGCCAATAGTGGCATCAAACCAGACATAGAATACCTGGAGGATCAGAAAGAGAAAGATGGTAGGATGTAATAACAGAAAAAACACACAGTCTCATAAGGAACAAGACACAGTCAACAACTGAGTCACCTAGGACATGCATAAAGGTTATAAGGTTTTTACCTTGTCCTCAAAACCTTCTAAAGGTACAGGGGTTCCCCATTTGAGGTCCCGTGTTATACAGCGTGGCTTGAGGCCATCCCGAAGCCAAGAACGAATGATGAACCGGGCATTGGGTGTCCAGTCACTGCCAGGCAGTATCTTTCCCAACCACTCTTCCAGTCGACTTTCCAGCTGAGATGGGCAAAGACAGAGAGCTGATTTAGGACATCCCACATAATGTCTGCACAAGGGTAAATAGGTACAACTTTCTTAAAGCATGTTGTTGCTAAGTACCACCACGTCTGCTCTAACTCATAGCAACCCTGTATAGGATTTCTGAGGGTATATATCTTTGTGGGAGCAGAAAGCCTCAACTGTATCCCACGAAGCAGCTGGTGGGCTTGAGCAACCAACCTTGTGATTAGCAGTCCAATGAATATCCTACAGAACCCAGTGTTCCCCTCACTTCTTGGAGTATAGTTTTGCAAAAAAAATTTTTTAATCAAACTCTGCTGTTGAAAGGATTCTGATTCATTTCAGGATTTTAAGACTATAAATCTTT